ATATATGTCTGAAAATAAGCTACTATTTTTGGCCAAAAAGTTATACAAAAATTTTTAGATAGTTTATTTTTAGATAAAAGTATTTTTTGCTAATTGTGAAAAATTTTACTAAGTAAATCGATCATGTGTATTAAGTGAAAGTTGTTCAGAAAATAAAATTACAATATTTTAAAAGTTGTATATAAATTGGATAACTTTTTATTAATTAACTTTTGATTTTTACATTTGACGAATATAAATTTTAAAAAACTTCAAAGAAATTTTAAAAATTCATCGAATATAATATACAAAAATATATTAATAAAAAGTTATCCAATTTAGATAAAACTTTTAAAATATATGTATTTTGATCTTATGAACAACTTTTACTTAATAAACTTTGTTAATTTACTTAGTAAAATTTTGACTTTACTATAGAGTAACTACTGATGATCATTAAGTAGCTTATTTTTAGATATAAGATATTTTTATATTTTTCTTTTAAAAAAGGAAGGTACCATATTTCTGTAACATGTATACCCCTCTGTGAGCTATACCTTGCAGCAATTTTGAATACCAAATCATGATTTATACCCAGGTATTAATTATGGTATTCTTTTAATATATACTTCTATAAGCTATATCCTGTCTCTCGAATACTTATAAATAAAAAATTTCTAGCCAATCAGCTTTCAAGATCAAAAATAATGTGATTTTTATTGGTATACCAATTACCCTAGCACGTAATTTTTTGTTAATCAAATTTTAAGATTAGGTATAATATTATATTACACGATTAGGAAAATTCAAAACAAATATTTGCTTTGTTAAAAAAAGTTCAAAATTGTATATTTCTTGAAAATAAGTATAAAAAATTATCTTTTGTTCTTTAACAAAAAATTTTCATTGAGAAATTTTACTATATGCTTTTTTAACGTCTAACTCTAAAGTAAATACTAACCCTAATATATGCGAACTTTAAAAATTTTATCATTAGTAATATTTTTTAGGTGCTCTAATAGTAGTCTGATATACTGCTTTAATTTTAGAAAAAATTTACAACTAGATGATCATTGATCACTGATCATAAATTTTTTTTGCTACCACTATGTTACTAGCTTTAATTTTACACACAACTTAAAATTTATTTGAATCTAACTTAAATATACAATTAAAAACTTTATTTTGATTCAATTGCTGATATCTATGAATTCTAAACTTTATTATCTAAAAATTAATAGAATTATAAAAAACAAATCTAGAATTCTATTATTTTCAAACATTATTGCTACCTCTAAATTCTTTGTACTTCTTACCCTCAATATTATTAAAATTTATTAGCTCAGAATTTTTATTATTTTCATTTGTCAAATTTTTATTTAATTTTTCATAATCAAAAACCAGATCATCCTCTGTTTTATCTATTTTAACCAAAATATCACAACACTTAAATACTTTTATAATCAAGCAAGGATCAACCTTTTTCTATAAATCTATTACCCAATGAGCAAGAATAGCATATGATGGCTTCTGAAAACATCTAGCTAGTATTAATTGATAAACTGTTTCAGACATCTATTTATTGTAGTGGTGATACATCTGAAAATTTAAAACTTTTAATATTGTATATTCAATATAAATAAAGGTTTTTATTGTATATACCTTACTCTTGAAGTACTTGTTGATTGCAACATCTAGGGGCTGAAGTCTGCTGATTAACTCTTCTAGAATTACTGCAAAGTATGTATTGTTTTCTTTAAAAAAAAATTTGACAGAATTTACTAAGTAACTCCAGAAGGAGCCCAAGACTGTAGCCCTGCTACTTCACTACATTTAGTCTAGATATTATTTATCCAATAATATATCTCATGCTTATTGCACTATTCTTTTTTATTTATTCTTATAACTACGCCTGAGAAAATACATTACAGGAGATGGTTTTTAGTTTAAAAATACACACAGATAGAAATTTTATTCTATTGGTGAGATATTTAAGAATTATCATAAAGCTTGTTTTTTCATGCTTGGTAGTTTTGATATCCACAGTTTTGGACCCATGTTTTTCAATAGTGACTTGGGCTAGACATATTAAATGACAAGGATATTTCGTCCATATTTTTAATAAGATTAACAGGAAAATCATATTTCTGGTATTTGAATAAAATGAAACTCAAAAATTCAGCTTGTTTTTCATCAAGGTCAGCTGAAAGGTGTTGTAAAACTGCTGTATGCTTACGATTCAAATAATTATAGAGATACAAGAACTGACTCAACTAGCTTTAGAAAAACTTGCAGTTACCAATATCAGAGTAAATATTTTTAAGTTTATTAGTTTGAGCTAAAGCTGTAGCTTTTTTATAACCATATTTTGGGTAATAGCATTTTGCTCATTATGGTAACCACTAATCTATTCAACTAGCCTTTTTTCTAACAATGAAGACTAGGCCTGTTTACTATGGTTAAGGATTAAAAGATATGGTATAGCATTCAAAAGTTCTTCCTTTTTGCTAACTCAATTGTGAACCTGTTTTAGTTCTATTTTGAACTATTTTGCAGTTTTCCTTACATTATTAGTTTGCTTATAATAACAAACAACTATGATCTTTTTTTTGATAGTCTATAAGCAACAGCTTTTACCAGTAATACAGGCATATCTTTTGATATTGCTTCTTCTTGAAGATATTCTTAGTGCTGAAAAGTTTGTATATAGTACAGTATAAGAGCAAGGCAGGATTTTTTCTTTTTCTTTTATTTTATTTTTTTTTAAATATTAATATCATAGTTATGGGTTACTGTATATTATACATAGGTTACAGAATCAGAGACATATTTGTGATCAGAGTATAAGAGATACTGGAAAACAAAAAAATAAATATATTATAGGCAGGCAATAAAACTTGAAGTGCAATTAATAATTTTACGAAAGTTTTGTATATTATTATTATGACATTATAACTCATAATAGCACATCATATATGTAAGTGTAAAATTGGGAAGTTGGTAGTGTAGTCATATTTGACTAATAAGAGCAGCCAATAGATACAAAAAAAAATCAACATATGTATTCTCTATTAGTATGGTATTTCCTCTTACATAAGTATCTAGATAAATAGTATGATCTAAGAAAATACTCCGAGTATATATGTTGCAGCAATATGGTAGCTTATTTTTGGTAGTAGCTTATTTTTAGACAAATATAGTATTTCAAATTTTGGATTATCTCTATATAACTATAAAACTTACAAAGAACAATACAGAAAAGTCTTGTTGGCTTATTATTTTTTTTGTCAAAAAGTGAGTATCTTAGCTTATCTTTTCAAAAGATTAACATATAATTTTTCAAAATAGCTAGTATTGTTGATTATTCAAAATAGAAGATTACTGTATAAGTATTTACTATTTTAGTAGACCCAGTAACCTGTATAGTCTGATTAATCTAATTAGTGCACTGTATATATATAAAAAATAGTTTAAATATACATAAAGACAAATTAGAGATAATATATAAAGATAATATGATTTGAATATCATAGATTTATTAAACAATACTTCAAGATTACCAGTATAATTTTAACTACTATGTCTAGTTTACTAGTTTAGTTTAGTGCTATTTTTTTCTCCTTTTAAGTAAGTTTTTGCTATAGATATATATATTATTAGGATAAAATTAGATACAGTGCTTTTTTATCTTGTAATATATAATTTTTAAAAGTCTAATACAGGCTTATAATTGTGACCTGTCAGATTTCTTTCTCCACTTTTTGTTTTTTTTTGTTTTTAGTATCAGTTTTTATTATTTTTTCTTCTCACCTTTAATATTAGTATTAGTATTAGTACTTTTTTTAATTTTTCTATTTCTCTATAAAAAGATATTGTCAGATTAGCAATATTCTATTGTAGAGTGATAGTCTGACAGTGCTTTCTAAGATAGATAGAGTTTTTATTTTGAAACTTATCAGGATATATTCAAATAGATATATCTGTTTAGTATAGCTAGTTACTTGTAAGTACTTTTGAAGTAACTGCAGGCTGTTAGATTCAAATTATTAAATATGCTTTATTGCATCTTTCACTTTATACAGTAAATAAGAACTTAATAAAAAATACTGGCAAGATAGTAACAATAAAAAAAATAGAGCTAATAAAGTAAATAAAACCAATAAAACTACTAATAAACTCAATAAGCTAATAGCTTTAATAGAAAAATGGAGAAAGAAATCTGACAGGTCACAATTATAAGCCTGTATTAGACTTTTAAAAATTATATATT